CTCCTGCACATCCACTAACATAATACATGCCATCATGTGCCAACAATGCCCCACTGCTATATACATCGGCCAGACTGGACAGTCCCTGCGTAAAAGAATCAATGGACACAAATCAGATATTAGGAATGGCAACATACAAAAACCTGTAGGGGAACACTTCAATGTTCCTGGACACACAATTGCAGATCTAAAGGTAGCCATCCTGCAGCAAAAAAACTTCAGGACCAGACTTCAAAGAGAAACTGCTGAGCTACAGTTCATCTTCAAGTTTGACACAATCAACTCTGGATTAAACAGAGACTGGGAATGGCTCGCTAACTACAAAAGCAACGTCTGCTCTCTTGGAATTCACACCTCCAGATCAGCTACTAGAAGTGGGCCTAATCCTCCCTAATTGGATCCACCTGGTCATCTCCAGCCTGATCCTGGCCTGCATATTTATACCTGCCTCTGGAAATTTCCACTACATGCATCTGACGAAGTGGGTCTTTGCCCATGAAAGCTTAAGCTCCAACCCTTCAGTTAGTCTATAAGGTGCCACAGGACTCCTCGCCGCTATTGCAGATTCAGACGAACACAGCTACCCCTCTGATACTTGACATAATGGGAATAGTAATCCTTCCTTCACTTGATGTATCTCCTTAGACCGTAAGTTCTCTAGGCAGGGATTGTCTTGCTGTACAGTATTTGTAGCGTTCCCGGTACCATAAGGCCTCTAGGCTCTACTGTAAAACAAATGCAACATTATCATTCTCTCTTCTGCTTCATGTGGCTGTTGGATACTTCCTGCTCCCGTCTTTCAGGGAACATTACTACATGCTGGTAAGGTGCTGCCGTGCTCTACCACAGAGGTAGCTGCATTTTGGTGGTAGGTGACAATTTTCTATAACAGGCCATATTCTTCCCACCTACAGTGCTTGAAATCCACTAGGATTATTTGGCATTTACACAGGCCTAAGTAAAGCAGAATTTGATCCACATTTTTGTAAGACCCTTTGGGATCCTTCAAGATGAAGGATGCTACATCAATCGAGAGAGGGCTGGAAACTGGGCACAGAATAGGAAGCCCAGAGATGCTGACTGGTCCTCCTAGTGATTCCAGAGTGCCTCAGTTTCCCCCAATGTTGCCATGGCAATAATACCTTTCCCACAGCAGGAAGGTGGGGAGGGGGGTGAGATGAGCATTAGGTAATGGGACAAACTCCACTACGCTTGTGCCACCATTTACACCAGCACGCAGTGTAAAACATCACCACCTGTCTGGGAAGGAGTACCGCAGAAAGGAATCTAGGGGTCATAGTGACCACAAGCTAAATACAAATCAACAGCGAGATGCTGTTGCACAAAAAGCAACACGATTCTGGGCTGCATGAACAGGTGTGCTGTGAGCAAGATGCGAGAAGCCATTCTTCTGCTCTACTCTGCGCTGGTCAGGCCTCAGTTGGAGTATTGTGTCCAGTTCTGGGCACCGCATTTCAAAGAAGATGTGGAGAAATGGTTGAGGGTCCCGAGAAGAGCAACAAGAATGATGAAAGGTCAGAGAACATGAGCTGTGAGGGAAGGCTGAAAGAATTGGCCTTGTTTAGTTTGAAAAGGAGAAGACAGAGCAGTTTTCAAGTATTGAAAAGAGTGTTACAAGGGGGAGGGAGAAAAATTGTTCTCCTTAATCCCTGAGGACAGGACAAGCAGCAATGGGCTTAAACTGCAGCAAGGAGGTTTAGGCTGGACATTAGGAAAAACTTCCTGCCTGTCCGGGTGGTGAAACACTGGAATGAATTGCTTGGGGTTGTGGAATCCCCATCCCTGGAGATATGTCCATCTAACCTGCTCTTAAATCTGTCAGGGATGGTTTATTCTGGCCGGGGACTAGACTCGATGACCTGGTCTCTGTCAGTTTCAGGATTCTATGGTTCTGTCTTGGTCAAGTTTTTACACCCACTTTGCCAGGGCAAAGACTTTCCCAGGCACGAGCCAGGAGGGTTACTCCTAACGACAGGCATAAATCAGTAGAGCTCCATTGATTTCAGCAGAGCCATGCTCATTTAGACTCACTGAGGAGCTGCCCTGGCGAGGCCTGCGGATAACAGATCATCCTTCCTCTCCCTTCCCCACCGACAAAGGGCCCAGAGCCACAGTGCGAAGGCTGCAGTCGCACTACACTGATTCACACCTGCTGAGCATACGGCCCTGTGCCTAGAGGCCCTGTAGCTCCAGGGGGTCACCTCCAATCAGACTGGTTCCAGAAGTTCCCCCTGGCCCAATCAAACCAATTCCACCCTCGGAGAAGGCAGCTCAGGCCACACTCTGGTCTCACCCACCCCGGTAATGCTGCTGCGGGAAAGCAGGATTCTCCTCTCCGGCTCCCCTGGTGTCACACCGCTGACCGCAGGCGCGTCACTCCCCACTCACACCCGGGTGAGCAAGAGGAGGCTCAGGCCAAGCACTGATGATTCCTGCCCCACCCGGGGTGAAGGGCTGCAAAACTCCTGGCCAAGTCAACACTGGTGTCAGAGGGCCCCCCACAGCCACTCAGGTTCCTTCTTCCCCAAGCATGGAGGCCAGGAGACAGCAGCAAGCGACAGCTCCATGGTGCTCCAGGGCTTGGCCCCCCACATAGAAACCCTCCCCCAGCAGCCCCATGGCTCGGCTCCTCCCCCTCTCCCAGCACCTCCTGCAAGCAGCAGTTCAGCAGCCTACAGGAGGTGCTGGGGAGTTGGGGCTGGAGGAAATGGTGTTGTGGGGCAGAGCAGGGGGGGACCCCCCACACAGCAGTTGGCCACTCTGGCAG